TTCCTCTCTAAAATCAATACAAATACATTTTTTAAAGAGTTTACATTTCCTTGTAAAAATATTCCCAGGCCACAACCCAGAGATGCTGATTCAATTGGGGTGAAATAGGGCTAAGGAAATCTGTATTTTCATAAAGTTCTCTGGGAACTTCTAATCACATAAGTTTGAGAACCAAGGACCTAGAACATGGAGTTTCTTAAAGTTCTGTGTGTTTTCACACGAGGTTCCCTCTGCCTGAAAAGGGTTTCTCCACTTTTTTTTTTACCTTAAATACCCCTACAGTTCCTTCAAATGTCATTTCCTCCAGGAAGCTGCCTTTAATACCCTGATCCAGTGTACATTGTCTTTCTCTCTTATCTCCTCTCTCATCTCTGAACAAATTGAAGACAGAGACTCTCTTTCATCTTTGCTTCCAGCACAATACCTAGCAAATAATGACTGCTAAGTTAAATTTGTTGGATGAAAGAGGCGTCTTGCTGGGCTAGCATGATCTCACTCCCTTTGGGAACTTGTTACTCTTGCTATAGTTTTTCTCTCTCCCTTTTCCATTGTCCTCAGATATGGATCAGCTATCCTCTAACATTTTATAAGATAGTATGATCCTCTAAATTGTCTCCCTTTCCTCCCTCCCCCTGCCAATCTCCAACCTTCCTATTTATCCTAATCGTCCCAGCTTAGGTACTACCTTGTCTGAAACATTACTCGACCAGCTCAGCCAGAAATGACATTTTAAACACTCATACATGTAATTTATTTGGTGTCATACATTGCCTAATATTGTAGTTACTCTACAATGTAAAGCGCTGCCTTACATACTAAAATGCATGTGTTAGAGACCTACAGCTCATTCTCAATATATGGGTCACAGTCACCTTCCCTATCATTATGCTCTGAGACTTCAACAGTGGGGACTTCACATTTACTTGATTGCATCAACGTCACTGGCTTTTATAGCCATGCCATATCTGCCACCAATTATAATTATCATAGGCTAGAGCTCATGATAACCTATAATTTCTCCACCTTCCTAGATACAAATTGAAATTTGCCTCTCATTGCAACCTCCTACTTTTCTGCCTCTCTCAGTCACTCCCACCAAATCTGAGCTTTGTATGTCTCATGACCATTTGGTCAACTCCTTTCTATTCTCCCAATTTATCAATCGTATTCTGTCTTTCCTAAAGAGCCTAGATGCCATGGTCAGCTATTTCAACAAACCAATCTAGACTTCTTCATTGTCTTCTCTGTTCTTTCTTTACCAATCCTTTTGTCCCAGTTAACTTTGGCTATCTGTTTTCTCCACTCCAAGGCAGCCAGGAGTTATTGACCAAAGTCACAAAGCCACACTGGTTGCGACTTCCTACCATAAACTCATACTTATCTAATCCCAGGTAGATCATTCTTGCTGTTTTGAATTATTCCATTTTTTTATTTATTGATTTGAGAGAGAGAGAGTCGGGGAGAGGGAGGGAGAGAGATTTGTTGTTCCACTTATTTATGCATTCATTCATTGGTTGTGCCCTGACTAGGGATCAAACCCGCAATCTTGACATATTGGGACAATACTCTAAACAACTGAGCTACCTGGCCAGCGTGAATTATTGCTAATTTCTTTTTTTAAAATATATTTTTATTGATTTCAGAGAGGAAGGGAAAGGGAGAGAGAAATAGAAACATCAGTGATGAGAGAGAATCATTGATTGGCTGCCTCCTGTACACCCCTACTGGAGATTGAGCCTGCAATCCGGGCACATGTGGTTGACCGGAATCGAACTTGGGACCTTTCAATCTGCAGGCCTAGGCTCTATCCACTGAGCCAAACTGGCTAGGGCTTATTGCTATTTTCTGTAGAGCTGTTTCTACCCCCATTTCTCCTAGATCTTCTATCCACCAATCATCCTTTATATTCTCAAAAGATAGACTGGCAAGGCCATTTAATGTGACTTCCTTATGTGTTTAGCCACTTCAAAATCTCTCTTTACATTTCTCCTCCAACTCTTCCTTTATAATTGCCAAAGCCAACCTGTCTGCCTCTCTCCCTCTTGATCTAATAATCTCCTCTGAGACTTTAATTATTTCATCATCTCCTCTTTAAAGTGGATAATTACATTTTTAGTTTCTCTCAATTAGCCCCTCTCCTTTTCTGAAAGCATGCTTGAGTCTTGCCTGCCCTCCAAAAACTAAAATCTTTTGCTGCTTCCTCTTCAATTCATTGCCCTAATTTACTTGCTATTAAATATTGCTACCACCTCCCCACTCTTTAACCACTTGCAATTAGCTTTTGTCCCCTCCATCTTTAACTTCTCTGCCACTTCTCTCCTGGTTCTTATCCTTACCACTCTGATCATTTGTCTCTGTGACCCTGGCCAATTTTCCCCAAGTTTCTGTCTTGTGACTTATTCTTTCTCCTTTCTCCTTTGATGATCCCATCTGCTTACACAACTTTACTAATATTTACGTGAAAAGGTCCAAATTTTATTCATATTTATCTTCTACTTTTCTCCCCAACTCCAAATTTACATTTTCTAGAACCCTAAAATTTTAGATATGGAGGCATTCTCAGAAGTCATGTATCCTAAGTCTTCATTGCCTAGGTATCTCTAGCAAATGGCTCTCTGGCTTTCAAAGAAGGCAGTGTTTCTAAAACTGACCACCTCATTTTCTCACTGCTTCCAATTCCATTCCCAAAATTACTCCTCTTCTTGAATTTATTATTTCTACATCAGTCACCCTGAGGCACACAGCCTCCTTTTCCTGTATTCAATCAGTTACTAATCTAGTAGATCCCATTGCCACAGGCTCTCTTAATTACATTCACTGTTTTCTCTTCTAAACGACCACATTTCTAGTTTAAATACTACATACTTCCTGGAGTATTGCAGTGGACTCCTGGATAGACCACCCACCTCTAGTCTATTATCTTTCTACTTGGGATTCTGAATTATTTTTGTTCATTACACCAAATTAATCTTTCTGAAAAGCAGTTCTGATCTGCCACTCTCTGGCCTAAAAACCTTAAATGTCTCTCATAGATTACTAAATTATTCACAAGTTCCTTATCCTGTTACTCAAAGTCTTCCATGTTCTGGACTCAGTTCTATTATTCTAGCCTTCATGCTGTGCCCATCACCCAGAATATCCTTCCTTCATCTTTACCTAGCAAACTCCGAAGTTCTTTAAAGCTATTTGAAATAAAGATATCTGAAATAAAACCACTTCCATCACAGAGTCTTTTTTTTCACCTTAAACTGACTCTGAGCCTTTCTTTGAACCCCTATCACACATTATTGTTTTATTTCAATACTTACCAAATTTTGCCTTGTATGATAATCTGTGTATTCCAGTGCTCCTCAAACTTTTTTTTTTTATTGTCTGAAGTTTTACATATGTCTCCTTTTTCCCCAATTGACTGCCCCTGCCCCCCAGCCATTCCCATCCCGGGCAAGCCCCCACCGCCCCAGTGTTTGTGTCCATTGGTTATGCTCCTATGCATGCATACAAGTCCTTTGGTTGCTCTCTAACTCCCGCTCTCCCCTAGCATTTGTCTCTGGATCTATTCTTGTTCATCAAATTATGTTGATCATTATATCCCACATATGAGTGAAATCATATATTTATCTTTCTCGGACTGGCCTATTTCACTTAGCATAATGCTCTCCAGTTCCATCCATGCTGTTGCAAGTGGTAAAAGTTCCTTCTTTTTTATAGCGGCATAGTATTCCATTGTGTAGATGTACCACAGTTTTTTAATCTACTCCTCTGCTGATGGGCATTTAGGCTGTTTCCAAATCTTAGCTATTGTAAATTGTGCTGCTATGAACATAGGGGTGCATATATCCTTTCTGATTGGTGTTTCTGGTTTCTTGGGATATATTCCTAGAAGTGGGATCATTGGGTCAAATGGGGGTTCCATTTTTAACTTTTTATGGAAACTCCATACGATCTTCCACAGTGGCTGCACCAGTCTGCATTCCCACCAACAGTGCAGGAGCGTTCCTTTTTCTCCACATCCTCGCCAGCACTTGTGCTCCTTTTTAGAAGTGCACCTAGTTCACGGAAAAATGAACTGATAGCCAAGACTACCTGTCACAAAAGCTGCCTGGAAAATTAAATTTTAATATGAATTTTACAGTGTTATTAGTATTACACTGTTTGTTTTCAATATAAAAAATGATGTGACTTAACACTCCAAGAAGACGGGTCTATTTCATTTGAGGGACTTAGGGTCCACCTGGAACACTGGGAAAACCCTCCCCACATGCCCACTAACCTAAGGGGAGTGAATGCCTTGCTATATATGAAACTCCTGTAAAACGAATACAGTGCCATCTACAAATGCTCAAGAAATATTGACCTGTGACTCGGGATAGGTTAACTAGTGTTAACTGTATTTACTAAATGTTTACCATTAGAACGGTGCTCTGTTTCAAGGAGCTTAGTCCAGGTCCATAGGATGACCTTAAACAAGTATAAAACTATATATACATAAGAGTTAAATTATAAAGCCCAAGTCATTTGTGTTCTGCAAAAGACTCAGACTGGGAACTCGGTCTCTCTCTCGGTTCCACACCAAGTGACACATCGGAATCGTGTTGAGTTCCACTTCCAAGTCCACTCTGACCTCCCAATTGTTTTCTGGAGCTCGATGACTTTCTGCCAACACTGAGCAAAGCTTACTCCTCTCCACCTGGAAATAAAGGTTTACATCCTTCCGCTCTCCCGTTTTAAGTTCAGCCAAGGTTCCCGGGAGAGGGGCCGTGGAGCAGAAGGCAGCCGGGTCCCACCAAAGGAACAAATCTGCCAAACCGAGCAGCACCGCCCCCTACCTTTCCCCACGGGCTCCCAATTGGTCCTTGTGGCTCCGGATTGGTGTTCCAGCTTGCCCGTCGCCTCCATAGACCCCACCTTTAGCCTGCGACTATTGGTAAATCGTTACGTCATTGCCCCATCTACCTCACTCCTATTGGTTCCCATTGGCAGGGGCGGTCGCAACGTCACAGGCAAGGGCCGCCATTTTAACTGAGCAACCCTAGTGACAGGAGCCGAAGGAGCAGCGCAGGTTGTCCCCATTTCCCCTCCCCCTTCCCTTCTCCGTTTGACTTCCCGGGCCCCTTACACTCCACAGTCCCGGTCCCGCCATGTCTCAGAAACAAGAAGAGGAGAACCCTGCGGAGGAGACCGGCGAGGAGAAGCAGGTGAAATGGAGGGGGTGCGGGCGAGCGAGCCGGGGGCGACAGTGAGGGGGCGGGAGACGGTCTCCCACCCGTGCGGATTGGTCGCCCTGATCTCAGGCTCTGCAGGGGTTGGCCACTTCTTGCGTCACGCCGAGTGAGCGTCAACGCGACTTGCTGCTTTGGCGCTGGTTGGTTGGGTCGATTGTCAGTCAGTGCCTTACCCTTCCTCATTGGCCAAGAAGCCTACCGCTTAGCTCCTTCAAGCTGTGCTATAATTGGCCGAGCTTGGGCGCGGGGCGGGTGTTTGGAAAGACTGGGTGAATGAAAGGGGGCTGGTGGTCCTTGGATGTGATGTGTATTTTTGGTTATTGGGGATAAATAACACGACTACCAGGCTGGGGCCTGCATCCTAAATCCTTCGAAAGCTACAGGTTAAGGTAAAGACGTTTAAAAAAAGGACCAGCATTGGGGGAAGGGAGAAGAGTAATTCTTACCATGGTTAAAGGCGGCAATTTTATCAAGATAACCTATTTTGACCATTGGGGATGGTCTGTTGCCCATCTTCCGTGAGGACGGAACAAAATTGAAGAGGACTGAAGTCCCATACAGAATCGAGGTTAAATTTAGAAAAGACACCAGGAGAGTCGTGACAAGAAAGACGCCACTCTATCACCCTATTTCCCCCAGACTTCCAAGGCAGCGAGACTTAGTTCACCCGCAATTCTGTGATAAAAACACGCCAATCAGACCTCTGCTTGGGGGTTGTATTTGACTTACAGCATTTCGTACTGGGTTCAGAGGCACATGACATGCACCTGTTGTTATACCTGTGCCGGAATACCAAGGAGAGGTAATATAATCCCACCAAGAAGAGCCAAGAGTGGCTTTAGATTATTTTTAAAAGTTACCGAAGAAAAGGGCAGCGGGGCCCACAAAAAGCCAGGAGCGTAGACAGTGAGAGCCGCTGCAAGCCAGTCGAGCTCTTGTCATGTTCCCCAAACTGCCATCACTAGCCCCATGAGGGTTGGTGTTTACTTTTTGGCAAAAACTGGGTAAATGCTAATGAACCTACTGTATCTTAATTTTCCCGAGATTAAAAATAGGGTCATTTTCATCTCTGTTTACCTACCACCTCCCTGCCACATGTTTATGGAAATGCTGAAGCAATGTCCTCCCATTACTAAGGTGGAGATTTTTGGAGAAGGCTGCGTAGCTCTAGCCTCCTCCACAGAGAGACTTCTCAGATGACTATCTTAGATTCTAAATAGGGAGGGAGCATTTCAGCAGAATTATCTATCCCTTTTGCTTTCCCATTTGACCTGTACTGTGAGTTAGTCAGCAGCCAGGGTACTTTCCTACTCATCATGTATCACCAAAAAGCCTTGGCTGGTTCTTTTCTTTGTCTTTCCTAGCTTCTGTGCTGAGTGAGCTATGGCTTGCTCTGTGATTAACTAGGTATTACCTTTAACCCAGTACTCACAGGTCACCGAGGTGGTTCCCTGGGTAGAGTGTGAGAAGCACCTTGTCTTTTCTTCTCACAATACAGTGTTCTTGGGCTTTAGGAATTTGAACAAAGGTCTAGCTTTATTTGAGAGTAGAGTGGAAATAGCATGTTTACAAGTAAGTGGATCTTCAGGGGAAAAAAATAGCATACAGGTTATCAAATATTAGAAGCAGTTGCTTCTCAGTCTTTAATTTTATCTGCCCATTTGTTCCTTCCAGGACACACAGGAGAAAGAAGGTATTCTCCCTGAGAGAGCTGAGGAGGCAAAGCTAAAGGCCAAATATCCAAGCCTAGGACAAAAGCCTGGAGGCTCCGACTTCCTCATGAAGAGACTCCAGAAAGGGGTATGGGACACAATCTCTTAGCCTCTTCTTTGGAGCCCAAGGGGATGAGCTCTATAGAGGTTCTACTGAATGCTAACCTGGAAGTTTTGTTTGTTGGGCAGCAGTGGAAAGGAATTAGAAACTTATAATGAGCAAAGCAAATTGTTGTAAATCTCTGACATGGTATCAGTTTATCATCTGGCTTCCCGTATAGGATATTAAGGCTTTATGTAGGGGCACTGGCTATGGGGGATTTGGGGGGTAAAGGAAGGATGTTAGAGACTGGAACACTGGCTGCACTAGGCATTTGCCTATTTGGATGGTGGGAATTTTAGGACTGCATTCTTTAGAATTAGAGCTGAAGGTTGTAGGTGCATCATTTCAGAAAAAGATCAAACCATCTGTCCTACATATTTCATGAACTTAAAATGAATAGATTTATTCAGACCCTTGAAGTTAGCACAAGCCATTTACTCCTTTCTGTCCAAAGAGGTTCTCTTTACCAAGGGAGAATCTACCTTCATAGCCATCTAGCCCCTGATCAGGTTTCTCAGTCCCCAGAGGTACCTAAACCTACTGAGGGATTGGGAATCACTAGGCTGGAGTGTATTCCTTGTGGATGAAATGGAGAGTGAAATAGACCCGTGAAGAATCCCAGTTGTTGAGTCTTCGCCACAGATGATGTGATGCTGATTTGCAGTTTACCTTGCTGTAGGCAAGACAGGCATGGGCAGGCTTTCACAACCATGGAACCTGTGGAGGCAGTGCGAGTCAGAGGAAAAGTACATCATCCTCAGGAACAAGCCCGGTTTCTATTCATGGTCTGAGAAAACCCTTTTCCATTTTGAGGTTGTTGGCTGGAGGTTGATCTGCTATTTGCTAGGGTAGCCCCAGATTACCCCTTCGTTATATCTGTTTCCCCAGCACCAAATCTGTTGGTGACTAATAGGTCCTCAGTAAGCCTTTATGTATAAAGTCAATAATTTTGTTGAACCATCTTGTGTTGATGAGGCTACAAATGATGTGGCTACAAAGGATGTAGAGGCTATTTCTTAACTCCAAAAATCTATACTCTAGCTGAGAAACTGCTGACATACATTTGGGGAGCAGATACAAGTACATGTAATTAGTGCTAAGCTCTGTATGCATGAGATTAATCATGAAAGACTTGAAAGATCTGAGAGTGGATGAGGATTTGTAATGGATGTGGATCTCTTTGTTTTTGAGGATGGCCAGGGCTCCTCACTCACCTAAACCTCCCTCTTGTCTCTTAGCAAAAGTACTTTGACTCAGGAGACTACAACATGGCCAAAGCCAAGATGAAGAATAAGCAGCTGCCAAGTGCAGGACCAGACAAGAACCTGGTGACTGGTGACCACATCCCTACCCCACAGGATCTGCCCCAGAGAAAGTCCTCGCTCGTCACCAGCAAGCTTGCGGGGTAACCTGGGCCCCTCTTTTCCCCTTCCTCACCCACTGGACTTTTATATATCATAGGCAGGAATGGAATGGGCATCTAGTTAGAGAACTTCTCAGCTTGCTAGCCAGCAGTGACTGTGATTCAGCTGGGGGCTGCTGAGAAGGTAGTGTGTGTGGAAGAGGGGCTCTGAGTTCATTTCTTTGGTTAAATTGATATTTCCACACCCTCACTATAGCCCAGAAGTAGGAGACTAGGATTGAGTAATACTGCAAACTTTTTTTCTTCTGTACAAGAAACTGGGGAGACATGATTTCTTTTTCGGAAGAGAGAATCTCAAAATTGGTTAGGCCAAGCCTTGAGAATAATGTGGCAGGTTTTAACATCCAAGGCTAACCTGACATTATTGGGAAAGGTAGATTGAATGAGATCTTTTCTCTGTGCTTCTAAGTGTTTTGTCTTAGGCTGCTATTGCTTCATGTTTCCATTATGGCAGATTTAGAGAATCCTCAAAAAAGAAAAACTGATTTGCTTGCCTAAAACTACAGTGCCCACCTAACCTCCCTTAGTGTCTCTTACAGTTTGCCCTGGCTCTTAATGTAAAGATTGGAAAACATTGCATAAAATGGGCGCCCTCTCTAGCTCTCTCTCTCTTTCTCTCTTTCTTTCTCTTTCTCCCAGCATGTTGCTTTTGAAAGCATTATGAGATAGCGGAAGGAGCACTGGTTTAAGAGTCAAGATATCTGGGTTTGGGTCTAGTTCCATGTAGAAGTGATATGTAACCTTGCTCAAGTCATTTAGCCTCTCAGGATTTATGTTGTCATCTGTAAAATAGTTTGAGTATGGATAAAATTGATTCTGACTTTAGAATTCTGTAACTGCCAGTTGGAAAACGCTGCTATTCTTTGTAAAACTAATGAGGCAGGCGCATCAGTGATTTGCCTACGCAGGGGAACCATTTGAAGACTACATGGGGAGAGAGGAAGTAGAGATTGGGGCAGGGTGGGGGGGCGGGGGGGTGAATTCAGGCAAGAGGACCTCGTAAATATCATGGTGATAGGGTTGAAAAAAAGTTCCAAGCAGCTAGCCATGGAAGCTCCTGCCTCTGCCCAACCCACTTTTCTAGCCTGCAGTCTGCAACTCTGCTGCGAAAAAGGCTGCTCTGGCAGCTGAGCTGTGGGCCTGAGGAAACATGCTCAGTCTTGCACATATGGAGGCCCATGTTTCTGATGTAATCAGATGCCAGGTGTATTGTTAGGGAGACAAGAAGAAAGGGGATGCACTGAGCTAGCCTCTAGGGCTTAGTACTACAGCAGGGCTGGAGTAGCAGGTTCTTCGGAGAGAATTCAAGTTGAAGAACGCTGGGGAAGGTGGTTAAGGAGCGAAAAGGAACACAGAAATCTCTGCCTTCCTAGAGCTCAGTAACCCGGCACCTGTTTGATGAGAAGCAGCAGTACTGATTCATGAATGTGTGGAGGAAAGGGGTTGCAGTTGGCCAGCATCTTCAGTCTAGTTATCAGTAGCTTGGCCTGAATCTTACTGAATGCAACCTGCTAGTTATGATAGAGAGGGTCAGGGTGAGAACTAACTGTTCAAGAGAGCAAGATTTGTAATCCTCTCTTGCTCTCTCACAAATCCTGACAGGCCAAACATTTGGCCCAATGAGAACGTCTGATGAACTTGATGGGGTGCATGTGCGGGGATGGGATGCGTATAGACTTCTCTCCTGACCAGCCACCCACTTTTCAGGCTGTCATTCAGATTGGATAGGAAAAAGTTGGTGAGGGAGGAATGGAGAGAGCAGGACCCCTGAATTCCTTGGCCCCCAGATTCCTCGACTGTCACTTGTAATTGTATATGATTTTTGTGTTTCTTGCTCCATTTCCTCATGCTGTCTTCCTTAGTCTAAAATCCACGTGGGAAGGGGAAAATGCCGAACATCCTTGTATAGTTTCCTCAACTGTCCCAGCCATGTTGTACATAGATATGTCATGTTATTATATATATAAATATATATATAATTTTGTACGTTTTCTTCATCTCTGATTTTCTCAAATTTTGTACTTTTTTCGTTTCTGTCTGAGCCACTTTCTCTATTGGTCAATTTGAATACTCAAAACTGAGGTCACAATGAGTCTGGTATTAGGAAGGAATAGAAGAAATAGGGAGATCAGAAAACTGTTGGTCTCTCTCTCTCTTCATCTGGTCATATTCTAGTTTAAGAAAAGACTCAAGCTACATTCTGTGTTCACCACATGTTTCCACAGCATGAAGTACATAAGTCCATGGCAAAGAAAAATCCAAATCCCAGTTGCTTTGATTAAACCTAGATTATTAAATCCACTCAAAACAACCTGTGTGTTGTCTGGCCCTGGCCTCACCCAGTCACCACCTCATCACTGTGTGCCCACAGCCAGTCTCTGCTGCCCTAAGTGACTGTGCTTTGCGTATGAAATTGAGCTGCTCCAAGCCAGGAGGCAGCACCACCCCTATGAGCCCCCAGTTGTTTTGATCTTGTCTAACGAATTGCTTTTCTGTCTTTGTTTTTATGGATATCTTTTAAAAAGGCAGAGAACATTTTGTTTTGTGGCTAAGACTCAAATTCATTCATTCTCTCTCTTTCTCTCAATAATTTCCTATGGATAGGATTGAGGAATATGCTAGGTAGCCTAATGATTGTTAAGTATGGAAGAGTCATGGAATAGAGACTGGGATGGAATTTAGGTATTTTTCCCTTATTACTTGACAGTGTTTTCTTTTTCTTCTATGTTCATCCGCAGTGGCCAAGTTGAATGATGCTGCCCGGGGCTCCGCCAGATCCTGAGACGCTGCCCCCCCTGGGTCCTGTGCTGGCTCCTGCCCCTCCCTGCATTTGCAGAGGGCTCAGGAGGTGGCTCGGGCACGGGCTGGAGAGGCAGAAGCCCCTGCCCGTCGGTGTCCCAGCGCATGGAGCCCCTTGGGCTGAGCACCAAGACCTTGAACCTTTTTTGTTTTACCTTTCTTCCAAATAACTATTGGGAGAAACCTCAGTGAAATCCTGGGGAGTGGGGTGGGGCTGGGGAGTTGTTTGAGAGGGTGGGTGGGAGATTTAGGGGAATATGAATTAGGGCTTGGAGCTGATAACATTCCTGACTATCCTTCTTAACCCTGTGGCTGGTGTGAGGTGGATGTGAGGGGAAGGAAGTGGAGTAAACTAAAGACATGGGGTTCCAATTTAACTTTGTAGAAAAATGCAATGTTTGCTTAGACATGGCTGGGGACCTGGTGTCAGATAAAAGAAACTGCCCATCTAAATATGACAGATGCAGATAGCTCCTCTGGTTCTGCAGAGCAAGCTGAGAATGCAATTAATGTTAATTGTTCATTTTTTTTAATATCCTTGAAACAGATGTACTGTGGGGAGAAGGGCAGTCAGTATGGGGAAAGAGGGCCATGAGCATGGGGAGCCCCACAGAGCCCAGGGGACTTTTTCAGTATTTGAAATTTAAAAAAAAAAAAAAAGACCCATGGAAAAAAAAAACCCACCCATAAATACTCTGAAGCAGTTGGTGTGTTTTATTGGGGTTTGGGGAAAGGGAAGAAAAGACAGACACCATTCAGGGGAGAAGCTGGTGTGTGGCCCTAAGTTTTTTAAGGAACAGGGGCTCTTAATATAGGATGTGGTTGGGCTCTACACTCCATCCATCACTTAGGGAGAGGGAACAAGGATGTTGGCTTACAGACCAGGGTTTTTCCTGACCCCTGTCCATCCCTTTGTTCCTGTACCTAATACAGATGCATCAACCTCAGGTTTGGGCTCACAAAATGAGGAATTTGAGAGTGTTTGATCTTAAACGATTTATTCACACCTAAAGCTTAGTCCAGACTAAGCATAAAAGGAAGCCCACTCTTCCTTTTCAGTCGTGTACTCGCTCACAATTCTCATGTTTGTGAAGGAGAAATGGACCTCTAGTAACAAGCCAAAAGGAACTCGAGCCTCTCTGCTTGTGGCCAGCAGGAGGCACAGTGACTTCTCTCCTCGTCAAAACAATCTCAAGTCCTGCCACTGACAGAAGGTAAAAGACCTGTGAATGTGACATACAGAAGAAACGTTACCAAAGTAGAAACATACTCAGCCCTGTCTCTCCTGGCCTCACCAGACATTCACATGTGGTCAACTGAAACCACTCGCCCATTTTGCCCAAGTTTGATTAGGAGAGATTATCATGCTATTTTCCCAAATGTGAATGGCTTTTCAAATGAGTGTGCATCAAGGAAGATAAACAAGGTCCAGGCGACAGATATTTTAGAGAAACCTCCATCTTATTGAGGGAAAGGGGTACTTCTAAACTGGAGAAGAAATGTTGTTCTTGGTATCTAACTCATTCTCCTTAATGAGAATCAATCTAAAGTTTTCAATTAAGGTATTCCTGACTTGCTCTCTCTAAATTTAGCCAGGGGACTGTGATGCCTCCTAACCATTGGCATTTCTGAACAGCATACTAGACACTGAGTGAGCCAGGTAGAATGGAGCTCGGTGAAAGAAAGACATGCCGTGGCCAGGTGGCTCCATTGGTTGGAGTGTCATACCATACACCAAAAGGGTGAGGGTTTGATTCCAGTCAGGGCACATACCTAGGTTGCAAGTTTGATCCTCCGTTGGAGCATGTACAGGAGGCAACCAATCGATGTTTCTCACATCGATGCTTTCTCTCTCTCTCTCTCTCTCTCTCTCTCTCTCTCTCTCTCTCTCTCTCTCTCTTTCTCTCTTTCTAAAATCAATAAAACATATCTTGGGGGAGGATTTATTTTTTAAAAAAGCATTCCCTGCCATTGTGGGAATTATTGTCTAGCTGCAAGAAGGTATATGAAAAAGTTCATGTACTTCAAAAGCTAGGATATATACACAGGTGTGGCAAAAGTAGGTTTACAGTTGTGAATACTTAAAACAGCTTATTCTTATATTATTGTTTTATTTCCCATAGGAACTGTAAGCCTACTTTTGCCCCACCCTGTATATCCTAAACCAATCCTCTGATTTCTGGGGCATGTTGTCCCTGGTTTGTGTTTGCCAGGTAGACACAGCTGGGGAATGAGGTCAGGGGGGCTGAGTGGGGTCATTCAGTTAGTGCAGTTTCATTTTAATACAGGTCAGAAAATTGAGGTATAGAAATAGGTTACTTATAAAGTGGCAAGCTAGTTTTACTGAAGAGCTCAAGTTAATATCTAGGCTTCTATATGATTTTTCCATTATTTCTGGCTTCCCTGTCCTTAGTTTTAAGCTGTAGTTTTAGGAATCCTGGGGTGCCAAGAAATGTTTGTGACTATCTCTATTTCAGTTTAAAACTTGCCATCTCTTGTTTTTCACTCTCTTACTATAGAGCTAGGCAGCCAAGGCAGACCGATTCTGCAGTGCTTCAAATAGCTGATCCTGCCAGTGTTTCAGTTAGATATTTTTTAAAATCTTTATTCCAAATTGTGGATCTACTACTCCAATGTGGTTGAGTGATGATTGTGCTGACAAGCATCTTGGCCACCTGATATGCAGGGTGTCAGAGATGACGTCACCATTATTATTGTCCAGTGACATTTATTTTAAGCTGATGTGGCCTGAGCATAGACAATACAGGCAAAAGAAAAATTACTTAGAGTTGCCATTGAGGATATCTGTAGTGAGCCAGTGGCACCCACACAAACAGCCCTTGTGTATATAGCGCCCTCTGCTGGGTCTTGAGGGAAGTTAGCAAGGAAAGGGAAGATTTCTTCCTTGGGAAGCTAAGACATGACAGTGGCATACAAATAAAAGCAAATTAATGTAGTTCCAAGCAGCATTTCAAGAGCTAAGGGAGCCCTCACTGGTTTGGCTCAGTGGATAGAGCATTGGCCTGTGGACCGAAGGTAGAATTCAATTCCAGTCAAGGGCACCAAAAAAAAAAAAAGCGAAGGGAAGGAGAGTCAAGATGTGTTGTTTGCTGAATTTTCTTAGGGGCAGATGACTAATAAAAGATAAGGAGAGGCGTGCCCTCCCTCTCAGAAGCACACCTGCCTTTCTTTACTTTTCTCACCTGCACAGTAAGAGTCCCTACAAGACTTGCAACCAGGGAAGCAATGGGCAGCGCCAGTTCGTCCCAAGCTAAAACTCTGAGCCTGTGTCCAAGGCCTCCTTTTCTCTGACTTTTCATGAAGCCAACAGCAGCCCCACCTTGGCTCTCTCCTGTTGCTTCTTCAGTCCTAAGCCCTTGTTTCACTGTCCCCAGCTTTAATAAATGTACTCTCAAAATAAAATAAAAAATAAAAGATAAGGTGAGGCCTCCCATGCTTGGGCAGAAATATTTTAATTCAAAATAATTGTTGCCCTGCCAGTTTGGTTCAGTTTGTTGAGTGTCATCCGGTGAACCAAAAGGTCACGGTTCTATTCCCAGTCAGGTCACATGCCCAGGTTGCGGTTCAGTCCCTGGTCGGGGTGTGTACAGGAGGCAGCCTATCGATGTTTCTCTCTCTCACATTGATATTTCTCCCTCTCCCTTTCTGTCTCTCTAAAAATCAATAAAAAAACATATTTTTTAAAAAAGTAATTGTTGAACACTCACTCTGCAACTGGAAATATTAGCTGTTACTGGGCAGGTAAACAATGTAAGAAATGGTGTATGCCCTGGAGGAAACTGAGGCAGTATTGAGACAACGCTTCTAAATGTAACACAAGATAGCATGCGATTTTTCAAACAGTGGTAATATCTTTGAGAAGGTAAAATCCAGAGGGCTGGAATCATTAGGTAAATATTAGTGGAGGAAATGGAAATTGAACTGGCCTTGAAAGATGGGTAGTACTTAAATGGTCTAGTTCAATTATCATTGAATAAGTTCCCATAATATGCCAGGCACTGTGCTAAAATATAAGATGTGTGATATGTGGATGCTTCTTTCAAGGAGATTATACTCTGGTGGAGAAACTGTACACAAAGAAATCATACTGCAGTGTTAAACTTGCAGCGGCAGAGGCCTACCTACATAGAGCAAAGGGATGCGTAATTAACAATTGCTAAATGTTCTGAGAGCTTGCCACGTGTCTAGCCCCATGCTGTGGGTTTAATGTACATCATCTCATTTAACCCTCAACAATTCTATAAAGTAGGTAGTCTTCCTATTGCTATTCTACAAATGGCAAAACTAAAACAGTAACTTGCCCAAGTCACACAGCTTCTGAGAATGAAGACAGGATTCACTGCATCGCCTGCAGAGGGATAGGGGAAAGAGTGATCAGGAAGGGTTTTATGGAGTGAGTTCTGAAGGATGAACAGGATTTCTCCAGAAAGGTAAGTGGAAATGGACATTTTGGTAGAGGAACCAATACTTAGAGAAGAATGAGACTATGTGGAATCTGGTGTTTTAGGAGTACCAGTATCGAATGAGTCCTGGGGAGTAGCTGAAGACCAGGTCAGGAAAGTAGACAGGAGACATGATCAAATCTGTGTTTTAGGTAGCTTGCATTGTCCCATGCACCAAGAAGTCACTGGTTTGATTCCCAGTCAGGGCATATGCCCGGGTTGCAGGCTCAATTTCCAGTGGGGGTTGTGCAAGAGGCAGGTGGTTGATGTTTCTCTCTCATCGATGTTTCTCCCTCTCCCTTTCTCTCTAAAATCAATAAAAACTTTTTTTTTCCCCAAAAGAATACAACTGGAAGAGCAAGTTTAGCAAGGAAGATAATGAGTTGCATTTTGCAGAAGGGTTGATTTGAGGTGACTATAGGACATCGAGGATTAGATGATCAATAAATTATTGGATCTTTAAGTCTGGACTCTAGAGGTCAAGATAGTATATTCTGCCCTCGCTGGTTTGGCTCAGCGGATAGAGCACCAGCCTATGGACTGAAGGGTCCCAGGTTCAATTTCAGTCAAGGGCACATGCCCGGGATGCGGGCTTGATCCCCAGTAGGGGGCGTGCAGGAGGCAGCCACTCAATGATTCTCATCATTGATGTTTCTATCCATCTCCCTCTCTGAAATCAATAAAAATATGTATTTTTTAAAAAGATAGTAGATTCTGTGGACTTGAAGATGTATCAGTAAAGCCATGAAAGTGAAAGCATTTAGAGCAGGAAGATTGTAGAGCTGAAAACATTTAGAGCAGAAGATTGTAGAGCTTTCCCTGATGAAAGCTAACATCTGAAGGGAATAGAGAGAAGGGCCCAATAAAATAGGAGAATGAGGAAAATGTGGTGTGAAGGGCAGTATAATGGAGGAACAGGATTAGTCCACAATGTAAAGTGCTATTGGAGGTTTATATGAAGTAAGAAATGTGACTGTCTCGCTTATATTGTTAAAAAAAGTGCCCAAAATTTTCAGCCACATAATTTGTCAGAATTATGGTTTAGGGTGTATGTATCTACTCTGTACTTTTCAGGATGTTGGCAGTGAACATGTATTTGATAGAGATCATTTAAATTTCAAAAACAATAAAATCACACTTTTTTAAAATGGACTAAAGGGTGTCCAAATGAATTGGCAATTAGTAACCTTTTGAGACAAGTTTCAATGGGTTTGTAGAGGTAAAATCTTGCTTGTAGAAC